GGTGTTGTAAAAGTGCCATCTTCGTATCGTGCAAGGCGAGGTTGTTTCTGTTCAGATTCATTGTCTTTTATGTGGTCCGATGGTGACTAGAAGAGATCTTACGAAGGATGGCAAAGTCACTCCAAGTGAATAACCCGCCCGATATTGTATGTAGCCGTTGAATCTCCTCTGCTATACAAGCCGCTTCATCATTATCGTTCCTACATTGACCAAAAGTAGCAACGTTGCCGTATGCATGCTTCGTGACAAGAGTTTTTGGAGGCCTCGTGTTGTCTACACTTAGAAGTCAGCTATAGTTGTTCAACAGCTTCCAACAAGTACCTTCTTCTATGATTGCCATTGATGCCGCCAGTATAGCCCCAGTGCTGCGATAATTGTCTTCAAGACATATCTGCCTTGTCTTTGGGAACAAGGTAATCATTCTAGCCAGGTTCTCGATTTCTATAATTGGCTTAGATGAGAATAAGCGCAGCATTTAATCTATCTACTCGCCTGCAGACCTCCATCCGTATACTGAAAGATGTTAGATTACTGCGGTGTATCCTCATTATTGACTCACTTGATTGATCAGGGTCTCCCACAATGCTGATATTACCATGACGTGCAGCAAACAGTGTCATGAGTTGAAACTGAGTAGTGTTTGTATCTTGAAATTCATCGACGAGTATGTGGCGACAGTCAATGCAATCTGGTTTGGCTTTCAGAAGTTTCGCGCCATACGTCAAGAGGTCATCAAAGTCAAGAGCGTTATTCTTTTGGCACTCTTCGACATATCTAGAATATATTGGAAAGATATCGAGTGCGGTGCTTGGGTCTATCTCTCCTTTCGGTAACATGCGTTTTGCGGTCTGGTCCCTCATGGCTTTTGCGTAAAGCTGTTCAGGCGTAAGACCCTTGGATTTTGCTTTTGAGATAATATCTGCTGCAAAAGAATCCTTGATTTCAGCCTTCTTCCCATTTGACGAGTGTGATTCTTCGGTCGAGACGACTTCTTTCAGGATAGCGGCAATCAGCTTCTTACTATTGACATTTTAGTTTCTGTATTATTTCATTAGGTAAGAACTGACGTTTCATCTGCATCGCAAATGGAGAAATTTCTGGAAATCTTAATGAAATGCCCAAATTGGCGGAGTAGCTTGCCGCATATAGCGTGGAAAGTGCCTAATTCAGGTCTCAATAAAATTGAAATTATTGACGCGTCAACGTACCGAGAACGAGAGATGAGACTGCTGCCTCTCCTATCAATGACTCTAGTCGAACACGCAGCTCATTTGCAGCTTTGTTTGTGAAGGTAACAGCCACTATTTGAGAAGGATCTATCTTGTGCACATTTATGAGGTGTGCAATCCTGCAGGTTAGAGTTCTCGTCTTTCCACTGCCGGGTCCCGCTAAAATCTGCAACGGGATATTAGGATTATGCACGACCGCTACACGTGTCCGAGAATCAATTTCAAGCTCGTAACTCTAGATTAGAGTATATACCGGAATGTTGGGCTTCATTGAGGTTGTGGAGATGCTTTTGGTTTTCCATGCAGTTGAGGTCGGAGCCTGAAGCGTGTGTCGCCCACCCGTCACCGATGCACCATCCAGTGCAAAGCTTAAATAGGAATTTATTCTGCTTTAGAATATATTATTAAGATATCCCTAATTATGAGGTGTCTCCTTGAATTATCTTGCTCAATGATGGCAACCAAGCCGCTGAGTGTTTGAAATTGAATCTTGGACCTTGCCAAACTCGCAAATCTTCCGGTTGAGCCTGACCATTAAATTATGGCCAACGTACAACGGCGTTCACGATCTCCATCATCATCTCGAAGGAAAGAGCCTCAACCGACCTCAGAGGTTTTTAAATTTGGTGCAGACTTTATCCCGTTTGAAGAAGAGTTGCGAATTGGCGAAGACATCCCACGAAAGAGAAAATTAGACCACATAAAAGACAATGAATCTGAACAGAAACAACCTCGCCTTGCACGATACGAAGATGGCACTTTTACAACACC